TTTTTTTTTTAAATTGTTTGTTTTTTTATGTACTTTTTTTTAAAAAAAAAAAAAAAAACATCAAAAAAAGATAAAATAGAAAATTTATCCAAAATTTTTTCTAACTTTTGAAGGCAAAAAAGCTACACAGAAAAAAAAATGTTCTTGAATCAAGGATATAATTTTGAAGAACTTAATATTCTTCATTTGAGTAGAAAAATTCTTGATTTAAAGAAATTTTACTTCATTCAAGAATTTTTCTCTTGAACCAAGCAGAATAAAAATAAATTAAAAAATGTTAATTTTTCACCTAGATATGGCCAATAATAGGTTGTAAATAATTACCCAAGTTCAATTTTAAAAGATTTTAATTTAAAAACAATTAACAAATAATTTAAGACCTACAGATCAAAAAAATTTTTAATTTTTATTCCAAGCAGAACATTTTTTCATTGAAAGAAAAAGTGCCACTAATAGGGTCTTTTACCTTTTGTGAATAAATAATGAAGTAATTAAAATTAAATAAAAGTTAAGTTAATTTACCGAAGGGCGGGATCGAACCCTGTACCTTGGCGTGTCATAAATTTCACTGAGAACTAAGCTACAGAATGTGTAATGTTGGTCAAAATAATAATATTACTACTACTACTACTACTAATAATAATAATAATAATAATAATAATAATAATAATAATAATAATAATAATAATAATGAAATTCTCGCTAACAATAGCAATAAATATCAACAAGAAAGAAAAAAAAGTAAAATAAAATAAAACAAAGGCTTGTAATAACTTGAAACTTGAGCACCACTGCTCCTTTCTCTCACGTTTAAAGTCAAGCCTCAGTGGGGATTTGCGTGACTGTTTAACAAGTAAAGGTTCAAAGAGGGGGCCTCTGTACATACGTTTCTGTGACGGCTTTTGAGAACAGAGCCAGAGCCATGTATTATTTTCTTCCATGCCCAGTATGCTCCAAGACTTTGGTCCCGGCATCAGTTGTCTCCTCCGCGGGTTCTCTTCAAGCTCCTCTAAGTCAATTTCTTCAGAATTTCTTCGAAATCGGGCCCATGATTTTGCGAACAAAATTTCGGACCAGACCCGTGCAATGGGCCAGATAATTTTAGTGATTGGTTAAAGGTAAAATAAATAAAAAGTTTTAAGATGAAAGTGAGAAGTTATCCAGGAAGAGCGGTCCTGGAGGACTCCGAGCTGATCCTGGACCCGGAAGCGACTCGCGGCCGAGCTATGGAGCTTCTTTATGAGGCAAGTTGGCGCGAGTGTGACATTAACTGGGCCAATAGTTCCAGGAACAAGTCCATTGGAACTTTGCCCGCTTCTGGGACCGGCTCCAGGGAAATTGATCGTGTTCTCAGTCAGCTGGAGAATGTTCTTGATAGGGACCAAGATGATAAAGATGAAGATGAGGATGAGGATGAGGAGGGAGAAGGAAGTGGTGAAAATGGGGAGTTTGACCGGGGGAGCAAAAGCTCCAAGTGCAGCTCTGATAGTGAACTTGACGGTGATAGGGATAAGGATAAGGATAAAGGTTCTAGTGGAAGTTTTTTGATTCCAAGGCCCAGGCTCATTGTTCCGGTACACACTTATGCGAGGAAGAGGAGGACCGGCGCGCCTCTACCTGGAAAGAGACAGTATAGAGGTAGATCTTTTTATCCGGCAAGGTTTATCTAGATCACTTTTTTTGTTCGCTTTCACTAACCTACTTTTCGAGAAGAGTTCACGATTATTTTTATTTTTATGGGGGTGAACTCATCGTTGATTTTTTTATTTTTTTATTATTGTTATTATGGTTGGATATTATTTAAATTTAAAGAAAGGATTTATAGGCGGAATATGTTTTATAATTTTTTTGGAAATTTTATTATTATTATTATTATTATTATTATTATTATTATTATTA